TGTATCAAATTTAACGAGAGAAATTTTAATGATGCAAGGAGATGGTGATAAATCACGTGTCGAACTTTTTATTTCAAGATATGGTAAAATATCTGAACAAGTTAAAGGTGCTTTGGAAAGTTTAGGTAATATTAAATTTATCAATTCAATATCATTATTTTGATAATATATAATAAATTTTTAATTTATATTTTAGAACATGCAAAAATACCAATTGATGTTAGACCTTTATACGAAATCGAAAGGGATATTAAATAAAAAATTATCGATAAATTGTAAATCAACACGAATTTATTTTATATTTTATTAATAAATGATTTATTTAAATATATATATTATATATATTTATATTTTTTTTTTTAATTTTTTATTTTCATTTATAAAATGAATATATTATATTTTATATAAAACTCATACTATGCGCATTTTTTTTTTTTTTTTAATTTTTAAACAATCAAACTAAATAAACTATTACTAATTATTTTCTAGTTATTAATTCGGGTTGCTTTGATGAACAGAGTATGATGATGATATAAAAGAGTTTATAGTAGTAGTTTATAGATTAAAAAATAAAATTTCAGTAAGTTTCTGTCTTTTAAGTCCATTAATCGCTTTAGTGAGCTCATCATTTGCCATAATTTTATATCTTTCTTTTTCGTTTTCATCCCTCAAAATATAACTTTTTTCCCAGTAATCACGAGATCTTTGAATTGATTCGCTAATTTAAACATAGTGGGCAATAATTTATAATAAACTTCATCACGTAATTCTTTGTTCATTTCGACATCTAATATAAAGACAATAGAATATAAATTAATATAAAATTGATACAGTACATGATTAAAGTTATTGAACTTACCAAATTTTCTTTTTTTGTTGTTTGTATAATCTGGCTCATCTTCAGTCTTATCGTTATTATTGCACGACTCTTCCTGATTTACAGCTTCGTTATTATTACACGGCTCTTCCTGATTTTCAGCTTCGTTATTATTACACGGCTCTTCCTGATTTACAGCTTCGTTATTCTTACACGGCTCTTCCTCAGCTTCTTTGGCAATAACAATTGGTTTTTTCGCCTAAATAACAGATTCGTTAAAAGTTACATTTATTATTTTTATTGTCTGGTAAATCATAGATGATTAGATATAACAGTCAATACTTACTTTTACGTAAACAACCTTTCTCTTTGATTTACCAAAATCATATGGGAGCGTTTCCAGTAAAATAACATTACGCCTCATGACTTGATTTTACTGGAAACGTTCCCATATGACTCTCTTATCTTGATGTCTTCATCTCTATGGTAGTGATATGCTTCCAATAATAAAAAATTTGATTGGAAGCTTCCAATTCAAATGATTTTATTAGTAAATTATGCTTCCAAACCTTCCAAAGGTGTTTCCAAAGGTACTTCCAATCTTTCAAGTGCACATCACTGTCTTATGGGACCATCAAGAGTGGCGTTTTTATAAGTATAAAAGAAGTCGCTCACATCTTCATGACTGAGGAAATGTATGTGAGGTAGTTACAATTAAATCAGAATCAGCACGTGAATGAATTTTTTAAAAAATCAACAGAGAACATAGAGAATATAGATTACATAGAAATGCTTACCCAACATGCATATTTTTTTACATGCACAAATGGAATTTTACTATTTTGTGTAGCCATGTTTCTAGATCTTCTTCATTAAGGACGTTAATGTTTTCGTATAGCATCACAGATAATTCAGGCTTTTCGCAATAGGAACGCCTTTTATAACTTAAAACTAAAAAGGGAGTAAGTAGTTAGCATCTCATAAAGAGAAGGTAAACAGCATCCCATTGAGGAAAGGTAGTATCTCATAAAGAGAAAGTAAACAGCATCCCATCAAGGGAAGGTAGTATCTCATAAAGAAAAGGTAAACAGCATCCCATCAAGGAAAGGTAGCATCTCATAAAAAGAAGATAAACAGCATCCCATCAAGAAAAGGTAGTACTTCGTAAAGAGGAGATAGCATTCCTGTTAATAAAAGGAAAATGCTTACTTGAATTCCTCTTAAATTAGAGAACTATAATAATCTACTTGTATCTTATGATTGAATTGAATCTGATTTAGTAAAAAGATCAAGAATTCGTGAACTAAAAAGTGTTACTGCTATAAGAGAAAAAAAAGGTTGAAGAAATGTTTTATATACTTTTAACGTGACTTTTAATTTGACTTTTTTAGTATATAGATTTCAGAATGACTAAGAAATGTGTAACTAGAGATGTTAATGATCTCAGGGAGACGGTCTAGATCACGATCCAATCATAAGACTGATCTCGGTCTAATCTGAAGGTTGAGATTGGATTGAATCAGATTGAACCAGATCAATCCTTAAGACCAATCCTAAATCAATTTTATATAAAATTACATAACACGTAATAATGCATTATAACATTGATCATAGCCTAACTAGCCTAATTTTTTTAGCGTAATATTGAATGTCGTATTAAATAAGTTCTCCAAATAATGATAATGAATCTATATATTCTTCCGATTCTTTAGCAAGAGAGAAAGATACTCTAACTTCAAAGTTCACAATTTCTTAAGATGTGTGGAAGTTTTTTGAAAAAATCTGTGATTCACAAAATAATATTGTAACAGAATATAAGTATACATTGTGTATACAAACATATAAACTGGCAATGCAACAACATCCTTTTAGTGTCACCTTAGTAATAAACATTTAATGAGATATCAAAAACCTGAATCCAGATAAACCACCTTAAAAGATTTAAGATATAAGCCTTATTTCAAAAAAGAATCTAAACCAATAACCAAACTTATTGTTGACTTTGTTATTGCAGATATGCAACTATTTTCTATTGTTGAGAATCCTCAATTTAAAATTTTCATCAAAAAATTAAATTCATGTTATGAAGTACCATGCAGACAAACCTTAAAAATGAATTTTATGTTAGAATTTGATGAAAGAAGAAAGCAGTTAATAGATAAAATTTCAAAAATCGAGTCTAAAATATCTTTTACAACTAATATTTGAACATCAAAAATTTCAAAAAAATGGTATCTTGGTATTATCATTCATTTTATTAATAATGATTGGGAAATGAAAAATTTTTACTAGATTTAATACCATTATATGGATCATATTAGAACCCGAACTATACTAATATAACTCATAAATGTAATATGAACACACAATTAAAATTATATTTTATGGTATAACTCGGTCAATATTAATGCTAGAAAGATGAAATTACTACCATTAGATTTCTTTCGATTAGACGAATCCAATAGTATAAATATCATTAAAATTGAATTACTAGTTATTGAGATAATGGGGTATGTAGATAAGTAAATTTGTAAAAATAAGCAACTTTTAGCAATGTTTACATATAAACTCTATGCAAACTCAAATATGAGTTATATTAGTATAGTTTAGGGTCCTATCACATTCAGCAGATTTAATTACAAGCAACATTTTAACAATCCTTGATGAATTTAAAATTAGTCATAAAATTATTGCTTTAACTACTGATAATGGTTTAAATATAGTAGCTTGTGATATTCAACTAGCAGAAGAATTGAAAATAGCATTTAATAACTTTTTATTTTCATATTATATATATGCTATGCATATAATTAATATTGCAGTAAAAGCAGCCCTATAAGAAATCGAAATAAGGAAATGATACGTTTTTTATAAGGTTTGTATACGTAATTAATGATTCTATA